GTTCAATGTCAGGCATGCAGATTTCTGCCTTCTTGACAACATGTCCAGGGTTACACCATTTAGAGTTCACAAAGACAGCAAGCCCTCCTCCCGACTTTTTACCGCTCTGTTTCAGCCTGAACTAGTGTTACTAGCCAAACGTCGGCTCATCACAGATTTCTTTAAATGGTCATCTGCTCAAGGCAGAGCATGGCTGACCATGCCCACGGAGTGCAAGGAGTAGTTAACTGCTCTGCTCAGGACTAACTAAGTTTTTGTATATCCTGTTTACATTTTCTTTTTTTGGTTTTACCTCTGACGTGGCTTCTCAGCTTCAATGCTCAGGGCTTTACAGAGTTTATTGAGGGACATAATTGCTTTTCCTGTTGTTATTAGCTAACTACTGACAGACTGTGAACTTGAAGAACTGGCAGCATTCCAGAGCTCCGATAATATTAGTAGAGATGTGAACAATAAACACTCCCGGTGCTGTGAGCTCCCAGTTCAGGCAGTCACCTAATAGGATGGTCAAGTGTGGGTGACTGTGGCTCAGGAGTTAGAGTGGGTCGTCCACTTATCAGAAGGTTGGTGGTTCAGTCTGAAACTGAACCCCAAATTGCTCTCAATTCTGTGCCATCTGTGTGTGAATGAATTCGTTTCTGTTCTGATGAGCATTTCTTATCAGTGTATGAATGTGTGTGAATTGGTAAATGTGGCATGTAGTGTAAAACGCTATATGCTAAATAAGTGGTTAAAGTTGCTAAACCAGCTTACAGCAGCTACAGTGGCTAAAGTAGCTAACCACTAACAACATGTAGGTAAAGCTATATTCACATCAGGAAACTTTGTAAATCACTGAAAGTTGAAGCAGAGCAGCCAGAGGACATCAGAGGGAAGACCAATAAATATTTTCTCCATAAAATAGGATCCAGTTTCACCAAAATCGGTAAATATAGTTATAAAGGTTGTAAATGACCTGGAAATTAGTATGACAGTTCCCCTTTAAATTAGACTATGTTTGACTTCTGCATATTGGCAGGGAAGGGCCTGGAAGTCAAATGCAGACTGCAGAAATACAGCAGAAAACTGCTTGCATTGCATGTATGTGTCTGTATGTGGTTAACAAAGGAAGAGGATGTTTTTGTTGATTTAATTTATGGATAAAATCTGAATCAGAATTTGGTTTATTGCCAGGTAGGTTTTTACACATGAATTTGGGAATTTGTCTATGTGCATTGGTGCATAAAATATACAAATCACGCACAAATAAAGTATTTTTAAAATATAAATAAATAAAGATAAAACAGATAAGAAAACTGTACAGAAAATGGGAGTGCATTAGTACTCACCTGTACATGCACACATCCCTCAGTACTGGTGGGTCAGCAGGAAATGTAACTCACTAATGATAAGGACAGAGAGCTTTGCCACCATTGGCTAAAAGCCGCAGTTGTTTGTCATGAATCTTAATTAGGAACTTTTTTCCTCGTTTTCTCTCTCTTCCCATGCCTTTCCTCTGCCTTTACCTCCCCTCTCCACTCTCCCGTCCTCATTTTGCTGCTCTTTCTTTTCTCTTTCTTTTCCTTGCTACTAATATTTCTATTCCTGTAAAGGAAGCTACTAAATTACTTGGCAGCTCTGGTGAAGATGAGGTGGCTGCAAAAGAAAGGCCCCCATCAGATCAATGGCCTTTGGCCTCCTTGTGCATTTATCACACATGCACACACAGTCATATTTTTAACACTGTAACACACACATACAC